AATATTGCCCCTTTAAATCCTTCCAGTCGTGCTATTTTTAAAATGACATTTCAGCGCGCTTCATTTGACACAGTGTTGCATAACTCTTTATTTTATTTTTATTTTTTTGTTCCCTGACCTTCACATGCCTTTGCACAATTTACCTGTATGCACATTTACTGTAATGTGTATATCTCTGTGTCTTTTGCCTCCAATCTRCAAAAGAAGTTTGTGCTTTTAAAAATAAAACCACTTTCGAGGTTTGTAGCTGAGGGAGGCCCGGAGAAGTTCGAGGAATCAATAAAACTGTGTAATAAGCTAACACTTTATGCTTTGTTTGTTTTTGTTTTGTTTCTTTGTTTTTTGTTTTGTTTTTTTGTTTTTCAGGGTGTCCTTGTTTGACTATCAGGCCATGTGTAAGACGAGCTCCCACTCCRTCAGCAGCGCTCGACCAGTTCTCAGCGTACGTCCGCTAAAAACTCACTTCTTATGCTGAGTTATTCCCAGAATAGTCCAGTTTTGTTGCACAATAAATATCGTCTGCCCCACTGTCTCCTCAGCCATTCTACGCTTTGGTTTCAACCTTCAAGTGGTTCCTCTCCAACTTCCTACTGTAAGTGTTGCTAGGGGTAACCAGCAGTGGCTGCTCCGCATCATCAAAGCAATGTAAAGATGTTGTGCTGCTTTTAAAGCTGTTGACAGCAGGAAAACAGCAACCACCCCCAGGTGGTTTAGACAGAAAATGCATAAAAATGTGTGCTGATATTTAAAACAAGCAAAGCTTTTATTAAATGAAGAAAAAACAACACGTTTAAAGGGGATTTTACTCATTTGACAACAGATATAATTATAGTTTTCCCATATTTTAATATGTTTAAGTTAACAAACTTAAACATGACAGAAGTGAAGCTGTTTCTATTTAATGTTTGTGCAAAATGTCTGTATTTCCTCTCTTTTATCAGTAGTTTGGAATGAATAAAAATTTATATTCTATTTTATATCTAAATTATTCAACTTGTTAACAGTCTTAGTAATTTTGTTAGGTTATAATTCTACTGAGGAAGATGAGATTTTTTTTAATTGAAGGAAAAGGTAATTTTTTATTTTTTTAAAGACTGAAAGTATTGATTCTTCCCCTTGTGGTTAAATATCAATCAATCAGTCAATCAATCAAAATAAAGCAGGTTTATTTAATTAAGTGTAAAATGTATACTAGCATTTTGTCCATACGAGTTTGTACTCTTAACTATTCTTATTCTTGTCTGTTTTGTTTGTTTGGGTTTTTTTTTTGTTGTTTGTTTGCTTTTCCTGAAAATTGTTCCAATAGCCTTTTCTAATTGTACAAAGAAAAGTCTCATTATAAAGTTGGAAAGCTTGTGGTGACTTAAACCACTTTTGAACAATAGATTTGAACAAATTGCTCTCACATAAGTCTTAGCAGACCAAAAAGATGAAATGAAGATCAGTCAGATATGTTCCTTTAAAGCAGAGCTGCCCAAAGTGGGGCCCATGGGCCCCACCAAGCTATTGTATTTGACCCACCAATAGTTGCCCTGGTTAGGCTGTAATCACCTGCAGTCACTGCAGAAACACTGTATTTCCACTGACAGTCAATCCACTGACCTCATAAGGCACTGTGGTGCTGATAGTTCACTTTATCTTTGAATTATATTAAGATTAAACATAAATAAAAGTAACTAAATGAGATATTTAGATTACATTTCAGCACACGTAGATTTGAATACTTTACAAGAYCACAAATACTCAGGTTTGATCAACTTATGAAATGTCCCATGAGCCTTTGCTGCCCGAGCATACTGAAAGTCAAATGTTGTCCAGGTGCACRAACTAAAAGTTAAACATCAAAACGTGGGCCACCATACTTGCTCCTAGCTTAATCATGAAAAATAAAAMGACCTCACTTAAAACAGATTTGCATTTCATGTATTATATTACTGCATTTGGCCCACAGCCCTAGGATATATTTTCATGTTGGCCCTCTCAGGGAAAAAGTTTGGACACCCCTGCTTTAAAGAGAACCAACATTTCTGATTATCCCTTAAACTTATAAAACCTGCCATTTAAAATTAAATCTCTGATCTATTTKCTGTAGAAGATGTAACTTCCCTTCCTAATGGCTTTAACATTTCTGAGTATTTCCATCTAATTGTTTCATTTTCCATTACAAACACTGTTGTATAAGTTCCCATTTACTGAGGACCTATTTTATTCTTCCCTGGACACACTTTGGTTCTTCAGTTTTTTTTAAGCGGTTTGCAGTCTGCTGAGGTCTTTAATGGACTCACTGTGTGTCCGTCTGTCTCTTCTCTTGTYCTCATAGGTTTCTGTTGGAGTTTAATATCTGTAGCTTCTGGCACACTGAGCATTTTGCCGACGGTGAGCTCAAAGTGAACTAAAACTGGACACTTTTTTTCTCTGTATCTGTATCCTCTCTGTCTTTTGTGTCTTATCTTGATCACAACTTTTTGTTTTTAAATTACATCTTCCTGTTTTAGTTGTTTGTTTTTTTTAGCATATGCTCAATAATTTCAAATAAAAGTCTTATTATTAGTGTTTCCCCCGTTTCATCTTCATCATCTCACATTCTGGTCAAAAAGACAAACCTGTTTAAATGTGTCTGGCATTGATTTTCTGTCTCAGCGGCGCGATACAATCCTAAACTGTCCTCTAATCGTTTCACCTTTCATCTGCCTCTGTGGGTTCATGAATTACACATTCACCCTCCTCCCACCTCCACCTGTCCATCACTGACTCTGTCATCTTCATCATCATCATCCCTCCATTCAGCCAAGCCATCCTTCAGCAGCTGTGAGTATCTCTCTCCTGCAGYGGTTGTCGGTCCTCTAGACCTTTTTTTGCGTCCCCGTGTTTCATGTGTGGTGTTTCTTTTCTTTTTTTTTTTCAAATGTTTCAAGCAGAATTAAATTTAGTGCGTCAGATTATATAAGCCTTTCAGTGCAGCGGGAGAGGACGCAGCTGYCGAATCCTTCAGAACAAGACCCGAGCTTCGACTTTTAGTGAAGCTAATGGAATTTTTAAGCAGTTTCACCATAAAAAAGCATAATTCACAACCAGACGTGTAAAATTTAATAAGCCATTATGGCTCTTCTGTCTGTGTTCAAAACATTTCATCCTGTGCACAGAGGCCATGTCAGTATTTTTTTATAAWCCACACTCCTGTTTTCAGGAATTTACCCTTTTCTGTCCTTTTTTATTAGCTTACATTCAAAAGAAAAAAGGGAATGCTTTGCAGCCGTGTGACACCGAGTACCCCAGCTTTGTTTACGAGCCGTCGGTGAAGGAGACCAACAGCATTATTAAGTGTGGACGATGCCAAAAGTAAGCGCGCACACACCTGCTTTGTGTTTACGCACACACAGATCCTCTTCGAGGCCTGTRYGAAATTGCCCTTCTGAAAATCCATTTCCTGCAGCTTCGCGCTGCTTTCGGACAGCTTTGTCTGTTTATGCAAGAGTGTCGGGGAAATGAGTAGAGAGGGTCAAAATTAGATGGAGGTGTGCAGAGTTATCCACAGGACGAGGGGCATGTGAAGAAAGAAGATGGAAAGCGGTGGGAGGTAATGGGGTGGGTGGGTGAGTATATAGTCTGAGTGTGATCGCCCTCATGAGGACAATAGTGGTAAAAACTCACCACTAGTTTTAAGTGTTTTAAGACACTTTTATTTATCATTAAATGCATTGTTTTGTTGGAATACTAAGTTTATTTTTTTCTGTGAACTCATTTTATACAATTGCGTTTCTTGTCAGGATGTTTGTCGTACAGCAAATACCAGAAAGTAATCTGCTGATGCTGGTAGTCCAAGGAGACTGCGACTGCTCCAGGCAGTTCCCACCCATCACCTTGGAGCCCATGGAGGTCAAATATATCCTTTTCATGCTGTATTTAGGAYGTAATCTAGTTCATCATTAATTAATCCAAAGCTCCTTAAAACATTTACCCCTAAAATAATAATTCAGATTATTTGAGGTTAATTCTGACCTGGGTGATGAGTTAACTGCTGGTCCAAGGCTAATGTGAACTTCTGCTATCCTAAAGCACTAATCTGGTGATTTTTGAAGTGATATTTTATCAGTAATTAGTTCTGTGTCAGTCTGGATATTAGTTATCGAGTTTAAAAAAAAAGAGCAGAACTCTTTGTTCAGGTAAGGCCATTTTATACATGTTTTCAATGCTAGTAAAACCCTTTTTTCTCCAAAACGACATGTAGTGAAAGAATGCTRCATTAGCTAATATTAAACCTCAGCACTTTTGACACAGTTTCTTTATTAATACTTTTATGCTGTTTTTTTTTTCAAGCGAAAAACTTTGTTTTTTCATATATATAAGTCACAAGTAGCCAAAGATGAGAATGGTATAAACTGTTGATGTTGCAGTGGTTGAGCGAAATAACGTTCTTGATTTTGGAAAAAATAACCAACATTTCAAGAAATAAACTTGAAACGTTGTGGGACATTTGGACGGTCTTTTACACATTTCTTGAATCATAGAACCTCCATGATGATGGGGTATTGATATTCTTTGTTCCAATATTGTTAATGCTCTATACACAATGACAAAATAATAAAAATATGCTTTAAAGAAAATAAAAAAGTAAATGTACAAACTAAACAACAGTGGTCCTAAAATGGATCCTTGTGGTATTCCGAAAGTTCAATAAAGGCATTCATTTGATAAGTTATTTTTGTTGTTTTTATTGGTTTCTGCAAATATAAATCACATGTTTTTTTTATACTTTGCTACTTAATTGGCCTCAAATGTGTATTTTCAATGAGAAAAAACTTTTCCTGCAGTTTTTTTCTTGACCCCGCTGCACACAATGCATCGGTGAAGTGTGACAGGATGAGGTTCCAGAAGATTCGTAGACGCCCTGAGTCCTGCCATTCTTATCACCCACAGGTCAGCTTCTCAGTCTGCTTCAGGACACAGAATGTTCCAGCACAAAAAGTACATCTAATAGTGCTGCAGGACGAAATCTGTGAAGATGCATAATTATTAAAACTTTTTTTCTTTTTTATGTCAATGTAGGAGAACGCTGACGACTGTGGCGGAGCGTCTTTTATACGTCTTTCAGCCTCTCTCCTACTCATCTGTGTCTCGTTTGCTGCAGTGGCTTCCTGATGGACAACTGAACGGTTTCACCTTTTCACACACAGAGGAGGTCAAAATAAAGACATGAATTTGTTTGCACGGCTTCACCTCAAGTGGATTTTTTTAAACAGTTTCTGCACATTTAGCTCCGGATGGCTACAAACCAAGCATCTGTTGATGGACCTTTGATGGGATAACGAAACCTAAGACTTCAGACAAACAAATGGAAGTTTATGAGCCTTTTTTGCTACTTTATTCAAAACAATGAGCTTGTATTGTGTATAAAGATGATGATAACTTCTGTATCACAATGATGTTAAAATATTATAGTACAAAGAATGACTTGTCAGCAATTAGGTCTCCTTTTGATTTTTGTAACAGAAAATGCAGAGAAGCTATTTTGTGGACACCATCCAAAAACACTGCTGTCTTCTCTGAACCATAGCCCACTTAAAATGAGCTGAGGCAAAGTAAARTAAAATGTTTCGTGGTCAGATGATTGAATTTTTAAATCTTATTTGTACTTTTTGGGAAACCGCAAATTTYACGTCCTCATAAAAAGGAGGGATATGTTGCTGCCGTCAAAAGTCAAATTTATCTAATATAAAAAAAGGTAATTATTCTGTTTTCTGTGCTCCACTGTGATTAAAATATGAGTTTACGAGATTTGCAAATCTTTGTATTTTGTTTTTATTTACATTTTATACATCATCAAAACTTTTTCTGAATCTGTATTTTGCTGTGATGTTACTTTTTTTAATTGCCTGTTTTTTTGTTATCTGTGTCTTTTTGTGTGTTTATACAGCATTTGTGTAACGTCTCACGATCAAGGCATGTGAAAACCATGCGCTGATATAATTCAGCATTTAAAGTATATTTTTAAAAAATGCTTTTAGACAAACTCCAGATTTGTCAGAAATTACAACAAAATGATTTGCCACCGCACCAACTGTAAATTTGATTTGATTACTCGTGTCATTATTCTAAAAATAATCTGAATTTGTGGTGTCACTTAAAATTAAATACAATTCATTTATTTTTGTTATTCAAATGTGAATCGAGCTGCTTAAAATACTGTAAACATCTTTTTTTATGTTTCTTTGCTTCTGAAGGTTTTTTAATACTATTTTAACTACTTTAAAAAGCTCTTGTTGAAGCTGAGCTGACTGAATTTGAAGAATTTACGTGCTGAACATAAGTGTGCGTCATGATGACATATTCTTAAGAAATTATCCAACTAATTGTATTCATCTCTTTTGTTTATGTTTCCATTTTTCATTGTTAGTATTAACCACGCTGACTAAAGTCATGAGTTGTAGAGACTCGAGTGAATTAAATACATGTTTTTACTCATTTTGCTTTTTTTTATTTGTGATAAATGTCAATGCAAACATGATATAATAGTAAAAATATATTTTTCAGGAAATTTGGCTCATAGAAGTGTGTAAAAAATAACAAATCAAACAAACTTCCCTGAGGTAGTCTGATAAAATACTGTTATTATAATTAATCTATCAGCATGTATTTTAGATATGTTTTTTTTTTACTATTTTTGTTATAAATATTTTAAAACAAGTGGAAGATACTGGCTGGGTGAGTGGATTTATATTTATAAATATATTTGTTACAAAATGTATTAAATATTTACAGAAACAGTCTCAAATAATAATTACTAATTAATATAATTTGTAAACTAAATGTGTTTTTTTTTTGTCGAACTAAAAACAAATCTTTTAGGGAAAAAGTGTGAACAAACAGATTTTGTAAAGTATCATCATTCACAGTCAGTGTTGTATAAAGTACCACAAAGTGATACTTGAGTAAAAAACACAAGTATCTTACAAAAAAATTACTTTGGTAAAAGTTAAAGTCTCCTTTAAGAATATTACTTGAGTAAAAGTCTTAAAGTATCTGATATTTTTTGTACTTAAGTATTAAAAGTAAAAGTGTTGATTTAAAACGAGCTGTTAGATTTTCTGTAAGGACATTTATTAAGAGGTGTTCTCTCCAAAACATGCAGAAAGGACTGTCTTTTTTAAATAATTAATTCATGTTAAATATTTAGGATGCACTAGTCTAGCTGTTTCAGTTTATATACATATATCAAGGCTGCMCAAASCTTTTCYCCAAAATGAAAATATATCTGAGGGCTGYGGCCAAATGCAATAATATAATTCATGAAATACAAATACTTCTTAAGTACAGTCCTTTTATTTTAATGTTTATGTCCTGCTGGAGTGTGACTGTGTACAAACTAATACGGTATCAGAATTTTATATATTTATACTTCTCATTCAACCATAATTAAATTCACTCTATCTAGGAAGCACAATTTATATGGATATTATTTATTTATTACAATAACAAGCTGGAATGAAAAGAAGCAAAAATTAAATAAAAGTAACAACTTTCTATTTCTTGTCTTTTAAAAATGTAAGAAGTAGAAAGTACAGATAATTGTGTGAAAATGTAAGAAGTAGAAGTAAAAAGTAGGCTGAAAAATAATTACTCAAGTAAAGTACAGATAGCCAAAAATTCTACTTAAGTACAGTAATAAAGTAGTTGTACTTAGTTACTTTACAACTTAGTTCACAGTCCAGTTTCAACAGTATTTTTGACTGTGGTGAGCATGTTTCATATTAAAGCTACCAGCAGAGGGCGCTCTTGTTTTGTGTTTTACCGACGCTGTATTTTAATTGAAGCCATGTCCAGCAGGGGGCGCTCGTTTGCCGCGCTGGGGCTCATTGTGTGTGGAGCGGATCGCTGCTACTGCAGCTCTAYACCGCCGGGTGGACGGCGGATCGGAGGAAAATGGCGGACGGTGTGGATCATATCGACATCTACGCCGACGTAGAGGAGGAATTCACCCAGGTACATAATCTTAATTAACCAAAATTCATTAAGCACTCGTGCTTTTAATATGTTAATAATTTTGTTTCGGTAATAAAACAAGATAAAAGCGTGTTTTGACGGCGGTATGAGCCTCCGTCGGAGAGGCCTCAGGCATGTTCATGTTGCAAACCTGCATCTCAGCATTCGCAGTGCAATTAATTGTTGGATTTGAGATTAAAATACATTATCCAAGGATTGTTTAACCGCAAGTAATCCACAACAACCATTTACGTCTTCGTGTAGTTTATTTATKTGAATAAGTATAATTATCTGCAGCTTTTGTCGCGCAGCGCACTTTCAGGCCTCGGCATGGTTTCCGTGGCGGGCGATCAAACGCAGTTTAAGCTAGCTGCTAGCAACCCTTGTTTTGTAGCTGGACGCCAACTCTTTATTAATGAACCTATCTGAAATGTTCAGAACGTTGCATTTGTAAAACAATTTTTATAAACCAGAAATGCATTTGATTTAGGTTTAAATAGTTGCGTCTTTATCTGTAGCTTATGCATGCTATGTTTTGCTCCTCTGTTTATCTGTTTTGAATGTGGTGAGGCCAGCATYAGCCTTATTTATTATCAAGGCCGTGAATTAGTTATTATGTAACTGAGTCCAGGTTTTTCCTACTAATGTAGCAAACGACTTTAAAATCATGGATTATAGAAATGTTCTTTATTATGTAATCTTTACATGACTGGAAGTTTAACACTCCATAGGTTTTTCAAAAGCTTTTTTTAAACCTTTATTTGATTATAGATTATAWAGTAATGTTGCAATATCTTTACCTTTGTAGTTCAGATTAGATAAGTGACCACAGTGTTTTAGCTTAAAAAGTCATCTATCTGGGTAGCTAAAGTAATGATTTATAACAAGAGACTGAAATGTTTTTGGAAGAGACTGTTTATARTAGTTAAGCTCAGCTGGGATGAGATGATGAGGATGTGACAGCCTTACCAGCAAGTGCAAAGCCATATAGGTACTCTTTATTATTTAGCAAAATTGCTGTCTAGGTGARCAACTATGTGGGAGTTTAGTCGTGAAGTTAAAAACTATCTAAAGGAAAAAAACAGACTTGTGCATTCTTTACCTATCCCACACATCTGGAGACACTTTAACTTTATTTGGTTGGTCACTTCTTAAAACTCYTGTGTTACTGAACTTCTGTAACTCAAGTGACTCGTGTTGTTTTACGGCAGGAGCCAGAGTACCCAGCTCACGAGCARATCGACCTGTACGATGATGTGATATCCCCATCAGCCAATAACGGGGATGCGCCCGAAGACCGTGAATACCTGGATGCCCTGCCTGCCCCGGGTGGGTCAGACGGGGGGAAGAGTGCCCCACCTAATGTGGTCTACACCTACACAGGCAAAAGGATCGCCCTGTACATCGGAAACCTTACGTGGGTAGGTGTCAGTCATCCAGGTCGACCTAAGAGCTTAAAGGAGACAAATTATGGGTCCTAGAAATTTTTATGGTACTGTATGTCTGTGGGCTATCCAGACCATGTTCGTTCAATTTAATGCATAAAATAATTCTCAGATAATAAATTTTCCCATTTTCTA